TTTGGCGAATCTATGCTAAACCTATAACAACTCACCAAGTGCTCTCTTATTTTACGTCTGGGTAGTAGCTTCACCTATCCATGGTCCATCCAATTGCCAATGCCGCCCTCCTTCATATTTAATTTCCAAATAAATAAATGTAGTGAAAGTCAAACTTAAGTAGCAAAACCAGAAATTGGATTTCCAACAACTCCTAACCCGCTATACTATATTATTTTTTGCTAAACTTTTATATATATATATATATATATCGGGAAATTGGATCTTAACCGGATGATTAAGAGGAAAAAGGACAAATATCACTTTAATGCATATTTTAAAAATAGAGTAGTTTAGTCTTTTTCAATAAAAATTTATTGAAACGAAATAGTTTTAAGATGATTTTCTGACAGGCACTTTTCCCTATATACGGGAACTGGATCTTAGCCGGTTCTGCTAATCTTTTGTCGGAATGAATTATTAAACGACGCTGTTTCAAGTTAAAAGCATAAAATCCCAATTTTGCTGGACTTCAACTTTCCCCTGTTTCCACTTTCTAAATTTTCACAAAACCCTTAACGTGAATTCTTTCTTTGTATTTTTCATATTCACACCAATAACCTCATCCCCTTTTCTTCTTTGATTTGCCCCTGTTTCTTTGCATTCGAAAGCCCTCTATTCCAAAATCCTTTCTTGCAAATTCTCCTTCCATTCTCCCGAAGTCATTGCTGCTCAACCCATTCACCAGAGGCTTGAAGACTACGTCGAAGAAGTTGTCGACGAAAAGATGGCTACATCAGAGTGAGATCCTAAACAGAGAAACCAGAAGTACTAAAGCAAAAAAAGGTTGCAAACGATGCTGCTTTTGCGCCACAATCAAGAACGAAATTAAATGGGTTCATTCGAACCCTCTTTCATAGACACCGCAAGCAGCCGTGTCCTCCTATTTGTTTCTAAGTTTCTCTCTTGATTTCTCTTAAAAATTTTATTCATTCATGTTCAATGGAATAATAATTATTTGAGAAAGAAAATTTTGGAGTTAAAGTATAGGTAAGTATTTCTTTTTTCTTCTTCTTCTTCTTTTTCTCTCTCTCTCATTTTTTTTTAATTGTCCTTTTTGCTTCTTTGTATTACTTACCTTTAGTAGTCACTGATTCTATAGATCTATTCCCAATAAGATTAAGGATCTTAATTAAAGGAAATGCCTTTATTGACTTTAGTAGATAGCTTCCACAAGTATTTTCATTCCCTTCTAGATTTAGAACTTCTAGCACACTCAAGCTTCTCTTATCTACAAGTAGAAGAGGGAATCAAGATAAGCTTTAGAGCGGCAGAGATACGATCTTGAAGCAAACTCATGATCTTTAAAAAGGATATATGCTCCACAATAGCCAATGCAAGCACAGTTTAAAAGTTCTGTTTGAACTTGAGCTAATTTTTTCTCTATTGATGTATAAGTAAATTATAATCCAATAAAAAATTTTACAAGCATAAAACTAGTGGGTTAAGTGTTTTAATTTTTTTAGGGATTTATTGATGAAAAGAATAAAATGACTAGGTCTCACTATAATCAAACTTTCTACTTTGGTCATGATTACCTTTCAGAGCCACAAAACTTTCCACTTCATTAGAGTTTAAATCCAGCTCTTTCAAATAGTTTAGAGCAACTAATTCTGGTGGAGACAAAATACAAATAGTTAAACAAAAATGAGGGAAAAGAAGTAGCATTTCATTAGAAGGATATTCAATGACAAATGAAAACAGAAAACAAGTGAAACAATTGATCTACCTTTAACATTTAGTAATCCTTTTAATTTTTTCTCACTTAAGTCAAGACTCCTAAAAGATGAAAGCCCTCTTAGGGAAGATAACATCCTCTTATTGAAAGAATTATCAGGCAAATTAAGCACTTCCAAATTACTTAGCCCTAGTGATCTTTTAACATTTGCAAATGGTTTATTGTTTCCGAAAAAAATTTACAAGTATGAAACTACTAGATCAAGTTTTCTAATTCTTTTAGCATATTTGTTGATGAAAGAAACAGAATAACAGGGCCTTATCACAGCCATACTTTTTACTTCCATCAGTGTCTTTGGGAGCCACAAAACTTTCCACATTATTGTAGCTTAAATCCAGCTCCTTCAACTTGTTTGAAGCAACTAATTCTGGCAATCATAGAAACAAAATGAAATCAATTAAATTATAATGAAGGAAAAGAAACAAGTTTTCATTAGAAGGATATAAAATGATTGATGAAAGCAAAAAAATAAGCGAAACAATTGATCTACCTTCAATATTTAGTATTCCTTTTAATTTGTTACCACTCAAGTTAAGAATCCTGAGAGATGGAAGCCTTCTTAGGGAATATAAATTCAAGTTATTGAAAGAATTACTAGTTAGATCAAGCACTTCCCAATTACTTAGCCCCAATGGTTTTTTAACACTTACACAAAAAGTTTATGAGAAATAAGCAATATTTGCATGTTTACAAGTAATTAGCAGTTCCAAGTTCCTCAAGAAACATAATGATGTTAAAATTAAACATCATACCTCATTTCTTAAAGCCTATCAAATTGATTGGTTATGTTACGTAAAAGACTACCTAGCATATGAAGACTTCCTTTTATTTAATTGGTTATTAGATTTAACAATTTTAAGGATGAAAGACTTGCCAAAGATAATAGGATGCTATTGTTTAATTGGTTATAACTCAAATCAAGAACCTCCAAATTGCTTAAGCTTGACAACCTTTCTAGATCTGTGTAAGAATTTAATACAGTCGTGTTACAAAATTGAAAATCCTAATACCATATATCCTACAAAATGAATAATTAAAAATATTGCTCAAGTAGAAATTAATAAAAGAATGACCTTCATTCTTCATGAAATCTAAAATGCTATTTTCCCTCAAGAAAAGATTCTTTCAACTCTTTGAAACATGAAAATAGAGAAGAATTCAGATACCAATCCTCAAAGACCCAAGCATAAGAGAGAGTTAGATCACTCTCTTTGTTGTGATGTTGCATTCAATCCTAACCCCTTTACAACAGTCAACATGCCCTCCCCAAGATGCTAGAACATTGACATTTGAGGAAGAGATTGAATAATGTTTGACGTTTAAGAAGGCAATTCTCTCTTCCTCTCCAAACACCCACAACAATAAGTACAATACCATATACCAAAACCAACATTACAATTTCTCCAACCCATTTTTCCTGCATTTTTTGTTGGTTTTTTGCTTGAAGCAATGTCGCTCCATAATGGAGTTTTAATTTTGGTCAAAGATGAAGGCGCTTGAGCACTCAGGAAGGTGAAAGGTGACCATGGACTTGAGTCCATAATGCCAAGAATGATATGACCAAATATCTTGTTGACCACGAGTCTGGGTCTTGGTTCTGCTCTTTTGGTCACGGTCATTCCAGAGCAAACAAAATTTTGGTCAGTGGAGATTTCACCTACTTTTGACCATATATGACGTCGACTTTTCCTAAGAGAATACTTATTTTGAAAGAAGGAAACGGTGTTGTGCCTCTTAATCAATACTCTTTTTTAACATATTAACGGTGCATTTAGAATTATGAGTGGGAGCGTACCAAAAAACAAAAAAAGAGAATTATGAGTGAGAGGTTTCCTTTTTTTTTTTATTTTTTTATTTTTTTTTATTTTTTTAATACAGTATTTTTAGATGTAATTTTATATATAAAATTAAAAGTTTTATTTTAAAATTTTTTGACTATGATTTTCACTTATAATATTTAATATTTAATATAATTATAAAATTATTTATTAAAATTTAATCTCATTTAGTTTAATTATATTGTAATTTATAATATTTTATTTAAATTTAATCTCTTACTTATTTGAAAATTTTATAAAAAAAATTAAAAATTAAAAATTTTATTATGCGAAATCCAAAAAGCATACATCATAATAAATCTAAAAAACCTAAATTATTTAAAAGTAATAGTTGTTATTTATTTTTGTAATTAAATATCATATAATATTTTTTAAAATTTTAAATAATAATTAATAAAATTTACAATATGTTATCCATAATATTTTTAAAAAATAAATAATTAAATATTAAAATAATTTTTAATTATAATTACAATATAATATAACACAACACAATTACAACTACAATTACAATTATAATCATAATATCTCGCAGCAATCCTACGCAACCTTTGTGTCTGCACATTTTAAGTATATTAAAGTACAAAAGAAAGATTGAAACACCCAAACATTTTAATTTTATTTGTTATCCTAAAAGATTTATTTATTTATTTATTTATTTTTGCAATAACTCAACCTCCATGGCAAGGAAGAAGGAACTGTAGACATTAAAACAAAAGGAAACAGAATGATCGAAATCCATATCACTGATCTCAGGGACTTTAAGCTTCATCCAAGTCTTTTCACAGAAAATCACAAACCTTAACATGGACGACGGTCTCCTTAGCGCGTTGCTCCTTGCTTAGGACTTGGCCCTTGCCGTCGGTGAAGTAGCGAATTGCTCCTCGACGGTCGACCTGACTCCATCATCGATCCACTCCTCGCAGGCCCAAGAACATATTTAACAATTTTATCAATTGGATTGGGGCATTCATTTAGGCCCGTCTCAGTTAGATCGACGTGGCAAAATCCAGCAAAAGCCCAAAATCTATTTCAATCTGAGATAAAACAAATAAATAAATCTCTCCTCCTTCACCCAAAAACAAAACAATCTGCGTTTCTTAAGTTCGTAGCAAAAATATCTCTGCTTCATCTCTTCCCCTCAGAACTTGTCCTCGCTTTCTGTCTTACACCCCACTTCCTCTTCGTCCTCAATTTTCCTTCCAGCTCCTACACCCAATAAGAGCTATGAGAGAATGGCAAGAGTAGGGGGAGGAGGCAGTGAAGCGCAAGGACCTTG